ATGAAAGGCTCCTAACCCTCTTTTGTTCAGAGCAGTCAGACCATTAAGTTCAGTAAAATATTGATAACTTTGGTTAACGATGACAGTGAAAGATGTGAGCTTTGCCATGAAGGGACACAGTCTGTCACATCTGATGCCAGTGAGAGCAGTGATATGTGGCTTCAGCATCTGACCCTCTCTCCCTGGGGGCATTTTGCATAATTGCTTTCTGAAATGCAATCTACAGATTCCCCCACCAAAAGTAATATAGAGCAGCGAGTTTCCAAATTCTTGTTACCCAGAACTGATTTCAGAGGATGGGTTGCAGGCTAATGTAACAGGATTTTGCATGCATCCAAGTGCCCAAGCTTCAAACCACCATGGTGTCCTCCAAAGTGATTTTGTGGCCTATTTTTAATCTTGCTGAAATTCATCACTTTAGTAATCTTAAAAACTTTCAACAAACAGTAAAACCACTTTACCCAGGATCACCATGCCTAAGGACAGCTACACTGAAAAACTACACTGGGTCTCATGAACTATAACAAAGTAATACAGTGACCATGCCCAAAAACTAAAGTGGATAAATTTAGATTTTGCAAGATCTGATAGTAAACAAATTTGACCTATGTAAAACAATAAAATTTAAGTCCAGGATGGTGCTTTAGCTAAGAATCTGTAGAGTGTGATTTACTTTATGTTGGGTAATTTGTGTTGCAAAAAGCTAGTCTGCCTGGCTCCAAGAAATCTTTCTCTACATCTCTTTTTCTCTGTCCCCGGGCTGTTCTTGAGTGTTCATCTATTCAGATTTTAATGCCTTCCTCATTGCTGTCATCCAGAAATCACCTGCTAGATCACAGGACAAATTAAACCACAGTCTGCTGTTTTGGAATGACAATAAGGCTGATTCAGTTGTGCGGCTGCTGTGCAGAGCTGGAGGTTGTGGTCATTGTTAAGTTGCTGCTAGGTAACTGACTTGATTTACTTTGCAGAGCATACGCTGCATAAACACGATCACCTAAGAACGACAATTTCTGTCTTACACAATCAGTGTGTTGTACTCTTAGATATGCATGGGGTGAAGTTACGTAGGAAACCTAATGAGCAGTTGTCTGAATGTCTCAACCCGCTGGGCAATTCTTTGATTGCACTTTGAATGTGCAACACGCTGAGAAAACTAAATTTGGTCATTCATTCACAAGTCATATCCATCAATCTTTAAAAAGATCCAGACTTTGTGGTCTGACAAGAAAAATAAAACAACACAGAAAGTCAATTAGGGTTGCAGAAATCCACTTTATGTAATCAATACTCATGTTGACATTTATTTTATTTATTTGTTGATTTGCAATAATTATTCATTTAATCAATGGAGTGAGTACAGGGAGATGCAAGGCAAACCATTTCATGTAAAGTGTTCCTAGCTGAAGCTATTTTGTATCTCCCATCTCTGGTTAGGCTCTTATATATATATTCATGTTAACATATTGTCGATTATCCGTTATGCAGTAACAGATTTTTGATAAATATATTTATGGGAAAAAGACAGAAAATAATTGGGTACTCTCCATAATTCAATAGCTCGTAGATGCACCTTTAGTAGCCATAACTTTAAGAAATCATTTTCTGCATTTTTTTTTTATCACTGTGGAAATTTATCCCACTCTTCTTTACAACATTGCTTTAGTTCATTGCGGTTTGTGCACAGCTCTCTTAAGGTCACACCACAACAAGGCCTTGATAATTTTCTTTTTTAGTAATTCTGCTCTAAATTTGCTGCTGTGCTTGGGATCATTGTCTTGTTGCTTGTCCCAATTTCAGCCAAGCTGTAGCTGTCAAACAACATTTGACTCTAGAATACTTGGTTAACTGAATGATTACAAGGGCTGCAGTTTCTGTAGCTGTAAAAAACAACAACAAATCATCCCACCTCCACCACTGTGTTTGCCAGTTGGTATACTGTGTTTGTGCTGATATGCTCCATTTAATTTGTTTTTCTTTGAATGTGGTGCCGATCATTATGGCTGAACATCTCCAATTTGGTCTTCCTTGTCCTTGTTCAAGATGTCTTTGTTCAGATACAGCTTTGCAAACCTGAGCTGTGCTGCCAGATTCTTATATAGAGGGAAAAGGATTACTCCTGGCAACCCTTCTATACAAGCCTAACTTTACCCTTTAAAAGGAAATTTTTAGTTTTTCATAGGACTCCATAGAGTCCTGTGAAAACTGTTTGTTATTAGTCACTGTGTATGTACATGGATTCTGTTTCACTTTTAAATGTGATGGCCTTTTAATAAATGTGGTAATCTTTTATAGCTTTGGCCTTATTTGGTTTGTTATTGGATGTTTAAATTTGGTTATTAAACAATATATATAAATAGAAATGTATATTCAATATATAATGTGTATATATATATATATATATTAAAAATATATAATTTAATGTTTCATCTGTGTTACTTTCATTTAGTCATAGAGGACCCCCCAAAATATATATGACATAAGACAAATGTATATGACAACATATGCAGGGTATTTTTAGCAATATATTCATATCAGAATGTTTATTTTTTGTTGTTGTTGTTTTTGTTGTTGTTTTTTTTGCTGAACTGAGAGCATAAGGACACAGATTAAGAGGCCTGTGAGCCAGAAACATTTGCCAAGGTTCACTCATACTTTCTGTAGCTCACTTTAATTTTCTTTTATGTGGATCGTAGATCTTGGAATAAGGGAGCAGTAGTTCTTCTTTTCAATGGGTGAATTTCTTGCCTGTTTTCCCAGACCATATGTTACTAATGAGGCTTAAATGTGGCTTTGAGAATCACAGCTCCAGCTCATTATGCCAAATGTCTGAGGTGAAATAAAACATTTAATAATGAGCTTACATATCCCCGTAACTGTCCTCATTGCCTTCAGTTTGATCAAAGCAGTTCGAAAATTTGATTAAATTATTGTTTTCAGGGTTTGTTGAACTGGAAAACTGAGTTCATGTGGTATTTCTGAAATATTTGTTTAAACAACGACATTCAACAAGCTGAACAATGGCTGAGTTATGAAAATGTCTCTGACATTAATATAATTGAAATTACTTCATGATAGGTTACCTCAATTCAGCTATGCAGAAATGGTAGCTTACACTAGATTGGACAGATAAAGTGCAGTAATTTGTATGTGTAGCTAACATTTAGGCATGGTTATTGTATTTGTGTAACTGTATATGACCTGTATGACAAATATTAAAACAAGTCTTTTCTATAATATGTCATGGCAGATAGGATCTGTACATATTTACATTTCAATATTAATCCCATATTATTGATCAGTTGTCTATCATTTGGTTTACTAAAACTTTAAAACTATTATTCGTTAGATTTTGGCTGTCCATCAGGTTCACATCTGTTGTCTTTAGTGAAATAACTACTGGATACACTGAACTTGATACATTAATGAAATTTTGTAGCTACATTCTAATGGTGTGCTCTAATTATTTCGATAACTTCACATGGTGCCTTGCTTCAGTAGAAACCTGCAACATTAGGGATATTCCCCACTAGTATCTTACCTTTGAATTTTGTGTCCAGCCATTTTACATGTGCTCTGTCAAGGTAAACAGTTTCTTGGTCACCTCCCTGACTAATGCCCTTCTATCCTAACAGCCCAGATTGGTTGGGTGGTCAGCTTTACAAAGAGTCCTGGTGGTTCCAAACTGCTTCCATTTACGAATGATGGAGGCTTCAGAGGTCGCAGATAATCCCTTTGATTTCATGGATTGGTTTGTGCTCTGATGTGCACTGTCAACAATGGGACCTTATATAGACAGGTGTGTTTTTCCAAATGATGTCCAATGAACTGTTGTAGAAACATCTAACAGATGGTTGGTGGAAATAGGATGTGCAAGAGATTTTAAGTGTCAAAGAAAAGAAAAATAAAAGTGAATACTTTTGTTTTTGGAATAAGATATATACATGACAAAATATGGAACAAGTGAAGACAGATGCATATCTTTCATGGGTAACTTGACCCACTATTTCTGAACATGTGAAAAACTAACCATTGTTTTGCTGTTACTGTGAAGTATTTGGGAAGAGCTGGGATTCTGATGCATTTACAGCTATCTTTGGGGTGACCAGCTATTTAAAACCTGTAAACACGTATGAATGGATTTCAATTCTGTTTGGAATATCATAGCAAAAGATTTAATACTACAGTAGCGGAAAAAAGGACTGCATTTGAGTTTTGGAAGGGAGAAATATGTGTTACATCTGAAGAGGGTAAGACTTCTCAACAATAACAGACATAATAAATTTGAGAAATCTTGGAATCGTGTGTTAACATTTTTGAATGGAAAAAAAAAAATGCTCTGTGTGAGCGTGTGTTTCTGTGTTACGTATTTATATTGTGTCTATACAAGATGTTGTGGCTATTGTTGTCAGACGTGCTGTTTGTCTTCCATTCGAAATACAATAAAAATTCTCCTTTTATCCTGTTTTCACCTTGTCCTGTTTTTTCTCATTGTATTTCCTTGTTCTGTGCTATTGCTGATTTGTTAAAAAATAATAAAAGAAAAAAATGAATAGAAATATTGACAAAAAAAAAGTTCAATTTTGGCTTTAGATGCAGTCAACAAAATCTGCCACAGTGTAAAAACTGTCAATGAATATTCAAACTCAAAGTCAGCAAATTATTGACTAAGCTGTAACCATTGTGTGGGGTAGAATAAAGTCCACAGCTTATTACAAATAAATGCGAGTATTGCATAAATATTCTGCATGATGTAGGCTGAATTACACTGATTCATGTTGTTTAGAAAGTTAACAAAAATAAGTTTGAATGAGATTTAAAAGTTTGACTTGCAGCAAGCCTTACAAATATAAAATAAGCGATAATAAGATCTGCACTCAGCTCTGATGCCCTTCAGTAAAGCACCTGACCTTGAAGAAGCTTATCGGAGGTGATTCACCCTCCGTCTCCAGAGATAAGGGGGATGTGGAATATATAATAAGACACTCCTGCAGCAAAGCTAAATTCTTCCACTGTGAAATATCTTTATTTATGCACTAATGAAAGATGGACTTAGTCCAGTAAACACAATAACATGTTCATCATCATCACAGGGGATATGTACAAAACAACAAACGTTGCAGCACTGAAACCAGGAGTTTTTCCCCCTCTTTGGTCAAGAGGGCAATGTAAAAAACTAAGACTTCAGAATAAACAAGAGCTATTTTCTTTAAAAGAAGCTGTAACACCAAGTTGAATAACTGACTATAGTCATACAAATTGTTAATAAATGGCAAATTAGGTCAGTACCCAAGACATAATTTGGAGAATACTAATTTGACAGCATTAATTAGCACTTAGTGAGAGGTTAGTAATACGATGCTCCCTCTTTTGTGTTTTTTCTCAAAAACATTTTTTTAATTAACTAAAAACTGTTTAACATTTTATTGGAAAAATGGAAACTAACTTCACTCTTTATTAACAATTCTCTGTCGATGAGAGTATGGACCATACAGGTAAGAGTATTTTCGCTCTTTAGATATTTATTATAAATTTACTGATTTGGATCTTGCTCACTGTGTAGTATCATTACAGCATGTCCACGAATCATCATTCCCCACCTTTTAACATTAAATACTTTGCTGTTACATGACATTGTCATGCTTGTGTTACCTCAAACGTGGCAACTGATAGTTATTGCTTACAGCATCCAATCAATCTCAGAACAGCCACCATCTAACCATTAGATTATTATTTGCCATTTACTAACACTGTTGTGGTGAAATTCCAACTAGATTTTCAGTATATCCTTCAGTATATTCTTTGTACATCAAAATAAAACGCATGTTTTGTACACTTTGATTCACTTTGATAACTGTGTGCACATTGACTGGAATGATTGGTATGCTTTAATATGAACTGTTTAAATACAAAACAAAACTGAGTAATTCAGCATTGAATCTGAGATAATATACAGTTACCAGCTAATGCTAATTGGTGCACTGTAATGACGGGGCTGAACTACAGGGAATCATACATACTTATTAGTGATCACTTAATCAACTAATGGACCGTCAAAGGCAGAGGAGTCAAGAATAGATCCAACCTGGCTTTCGTGTTCCGCTCCATGCAGGTTTTAAGTTAAAACAAGACACCCAAAGAGCTCATATGGTTTTTTTACTTTCAAGGTAAGCATTTAAAACCTCAACCAAGTATCCCCCTGATGCCCTGCTTAATCTAAGCATTATAAAAAATACATGCTCCCTTCTGAAAAATCGGCAGTATTGAGCTGCAGTTGGATCGTGCAGATATATTAACACTGGTCTGATTTTTCTCTGCAGAGGCATTTACTTATCATAGCTGTCTTCATGTTCTCAGTAAGTACAACTATACAACAAATGCCACTAAACTCACACACTCATACACACATCCACACACACACACACACACACATATATACTGTATCTGATCAACTAGATAGAATGCACTTTGTCATGAAGTAACAATAAAACTCAATACTTTGACAAAACAAATTATTTTGTATTCCTACACAACATCAAATACAGTTTAAGGCAAAAATCAACAATTCTACAAGTAAAACAACCAAAAATTCAAAAACATACATCGAAAATATTTCTATTTACAATATTTGCTCATAGAAAAATATGTTCAACTTGCACAGATTTTTAAACATGACCACAATAAGACTCAATTCAACCTCAAGTGCACAAGACGGCATCTGATTTTATCACAAATCTATTGGGTCCAGGGCAGCTGTAATAAATGGACACAAGGGCATCCTGGTAGAACCGATTGTGTCTATTATACAATTCTGCGAGCTACACAGCTAACATTGTATTGAAATTTTGGGATTAAATATTTCAGAGAGAACTTGGTTTAATTTTTACACTTTCAGATACAAGAATGAGACTCAGCACAGCACAATGTGTGCACTTATCAACTGAAGTGGCTGTGCCATGAGCATTTGTTGTGGTTGGCTGGAGCCACACATGTTGTCTCTAACTAACTCTAATCTGACATTGCCTAACAGCTGGGGGATGGCCAGCGGTTGTGGCCCATTTGTGTTCTGCAGTGACCTCTACTTGCAAAGCAGTTACAGACTTTATAAGTCAGTTAGTTAAACCAACGCACTGATGTTTTTTGTTTGAATGTTTGAAAATAAGAGGACATATTTAAAGGTTTTTTTATTCAGATATAACAACTTCTATACATAAGATTTTATATAATCTTGTCACTTTTAGCACTTATTACCATGATTACTAAGTCTGCATGTCTTGTATAGTTTGATGCTATCCAAAGTGAGAATGACACAGTGTAAATGATAAAACACGTTTGAGATAAAAGTTATTTTTCCATGTTCTTTGTCGTGTTACTTTTTAGTGACATGAAGAAGCAATGTTGAAATATTTAAGCAGCAAATATTTAACTAGTTAAAATTCTGAATTTGACTGCGAAGAGTGTGGAGGTATTTAAACCCTGAAAAAGTGCACTGCAACTACCAGTCAACTACCAATCAATACTTGCTATTCTAATTATGCTTTCACTGTAATGATTTAGGCAAACATGTTTTGATCACCTTTTCACGGCTGTGTCTATCAATCAGAAAACATTTTCGGTAAAATTAACACTTTTCTATGAACTATTTATTCAGTTGTTCAGTAGTTACAGTAACCAACAAGCAGTGACAAGAACTACAAATACACCAAAATGCATCTCTTTGTTTCTGAAGCTCGAACTGCAGCTAAATCGAGAGCCACTGCTTGGTAGTGCAAATGCAACCTCGGGGGCCGAGCCGTGCACACCACAGTACTTCAGCGGCTGCGGACCAGGTCTGAGGCAGCTGTCAGGTGGCATGTTCTGCCTGACTGGTTGAAGGGGAGGGCGTGGGGGATGGGGGTGGGGTTGAACTAGTACTAAGCCAACCACAACGTGAGGGGAAACATCTAACAGTGTGAATAAAATAGAGGCAGAGGCAGGAGTTCAGAGAGGTTGGGTGTTTGGCGCTCTGGATTGCAGAGATTGAACTGAAATGTCACAGTGATTCTGTGTCCAGAGGCCCACACTGGGATAATGTGTGTTGAGTATTTACATCAGTGGAGTCAGTGCAGAAGTCATTCAGCGTGACCACCTCTCAGCACAGCAGTCTGAATAGGACCGTGGTACGTGCAGCATCTGTTAATCAGCTGCTAAGGCTGGAAAAGGGTCATAATAGCTTCAAGGTAGCCACAATCATCGTTTTTCATCCTCTGGAGCATGTGTGTGTTCATAAATATGTGTGTACAGTAACACTTTTAATTACATTCTTAGGTTTGACAGTGAGACACAACTGAAGCTTAACACAAACGTTGACAAAAATTGCTGCCGTCCTTGGCAGCTGTTTCAAATTTAAGAAGACCGAGTGACCTTTTCCACCGAGCAGGTCAGGAAAAGGACCGAACAGGTGGCGAAGTGTACAGGGCCAAGCAGGAGGTAAAGAACAGGAGGATCCAAAGTACACATAGAGTAGGCAGAGGTGACGCTGTTAAATGAGAGGAAGGAGAATTAGAGTTTTACTGTAACGCAGTTCTAATTTCCCATTTGCACAACTCAAATTGCACAGACAACATTTCTAAATCAATATATGAGTGGATTTCAAGCATTAACAGACATTGCAGTTGAGCTTGCATAATCATTATCATGGCCAGATCTCCATTCAGTTCTGCTAGGGAACTGCTGCTAATAATAGCACCCATTACTCTGGTTGCCACAGGAATATGTGGTATTGAGAAAAAGAGAACGATTATTCCCCCGTTGTTCATTTTTCCCTTATTTTGTGCTCTTAGACTTATTTATGCATTTAAATTCAAAATGGCTCTCTGACTAAAAACATGAAGACTGCAAGTCAGATCAGATACAGCACAGAACATCATTTAATCAAGGTGGACGCTTATTGACTTTGCTGGAGCTCAACAGAAGTGAACAAAATCAATCTGGGTTTGCGTCATGGCTTTGCAGAGCCTCGCGCTGTTAAGATTAACACACAATGCAGGGAAGTAAAAGGTGGAAACTTACATTATTCAATGAGGATTAATGTGACAGTAAATAAAACATTACTTCGCAGACGTAACATGAGGAGGTGTATTACAGCAGTCTGATCATAGGCTGTCTGAAAGAGCCTGCCTGCAGTTTGAAAGTGTGTGAAAATGTTTAATTTGCAGAACACACAACACTGATTTTCCATTTTGCACAAAATGACAGGGCCACAATTAACTCTCACAAAGTGATACAAAGAGACTGGCTTTAATCTACACTAAATAATAAAAATTGGGGGACCAATGCATGCCACTGTTGTGCTGCTGAACACTCTACTGATGTTCAGTTTTAGGTTGGACTAATGGTGCAAATATTGAACTCTTTCTGCTTTCAGATCTAACAATGTTTTTCTTAATGTTCTTCTCATGAACGTTTTAAAAAAACAACACTAATCTGCCAAGTACTCCTTTGTTGTGATTTGATAACACAGACAACTAAAATGCTGTATTTTGAAAAGCTTGGACACTGTGGAAAAACTCAAAATAAAAACAAAAATGCAATGATTTGTAAATGTCACAAACCGATACTGTATTCACAAAATAAATGTTTAAACTGAAATAAATTACTATATAAGAAACATAGTGGCTTGTTTTGAATTTGATGGAGCAACATATTGCAAAAAACACTTGGGTCCAGGCCATATTTATCACTGTATAGCATTCCCTCTTCTTTTAACAACAGCCTGGGAACTGAGGAGACTACCTGCTGGTCTTTTAAGAGAGGAGCATTCTCCCAGTCTTATCCAATGTTAGATTACAGCTGCTCAACAGTTCTGGGCTTTGTTTGTCATATTTTCCTTTACATGATGCTCCAAATGTTTTCATTTGGTGAAAGGGCTGCACGGTCTTGCTGAAATATGCAAGGCCTTCCCTAAAAAAAGACATTGTCTGAAAGTTCCTGTTATTAAAAATTCAAAATGAGCTTTTATTTTTCTTATTTTGGGCGACCGTGGCTCAGGGGGTTGGGAATCGCATCTGTAACCGGAAGGTCACCGGTTCGATCCCTGGGCTCTCTGTCCTGGTCGTTGTGTCCCTGGGCAAGACACTTTACCCTACTTGCCTACTGGTGTTGGCCAGAGGGGCCGATGGCGCGATATGGCAGCCTCGCTTCTGTCAGTCTGCCCCAGGGCAGCTGTGGCTACAACTGTAGCTTGCCTCCACCAGTGTATGAGAGTGAATGAATAGTGGTATTGTAAAGCACTTTGGGTGCCTTGAAAAGCACTATATAAATCTAATGCATTATTATTTTGTCAAATATGTTTTCTATGTTCTATTTTGAGATTTCCAAATTATTGCGCTCTTTTATTTACATTTTACACAGCGTTGCAACTTTTTCAGAATTGGGTTTGTTTATCTGAGACAACAGAGTCGACCAACCCAGAGGTGAAAGGTTTTCTCTATGTCACGTATTATTCCAAATGTTCCCTATTCAAGATGGATAGGCTAACAGTTTTCCTTCTGTTTTTTCCTTTTGTTTACGTTATAAGGTGTATGAGAGTCTCATATGGCTTTATGAGATTTGTAAATCATTCCATTCTGTTTTTCTAGCTCTGGACGGATCAGTCTAAGAGACCTGTGCCTCATTTGTCTGTGTTATTTCTCAGACACACTCTGCTGCACCTAACCACTGCACGTTAGCAAGATTATGCATAATAATCCCTCAATTTCCTAAGAAAACTGTCTTTCCATTTCAGCAAATATGCATGGAATATTGAACCAAGTCTATAAAGGACAGTCTATAATCTGCAAAGGGCAGTAATATACTACACAATATGGGGCAATAATTTGTTTTGTTCAACCTGTAGCTTGTCCAGGATATACCTCCTTATAATAGGTCTCAGAATCTTATATACTGTCCTATACTAGCAAAATTGCAAAAAACTATAAGAAAAAAGCAAACAACAAATTGCAATGTTATAACCTGGAATATGGAATAAGATGTCACCTTGGCCCTGGACACTAAGACCCCTTTGTTCTCCTCTTCTGTCCTCCAGCAATCCTTTCATCTCTTGTCTCTTGTCAGGGAGTTGTATCTCCGCGATGCATGGAGGCTCGTCCCCAAGCACCTTGTCCTTGCCCTTGCCCTCCTCCTCCTCCGCCTCCCCCACCACCATGATCCTTATCCGATTCTGGTTGGCTCTGGGCTCGCTCAGGCTTAGGGTTGGGTGTGCACGGGGGGTCAGGTTGTTGGACTGACATGGTCCTGCGCAGGTGGGTTCGTTTACACAGAAAGTCAGGCTTCGCTGAGAGACCGAATGAACCTTTCCTTAAGACCATGCGAACTGAAGGAGATTTCTTAGGTCTGGCTCTGTGCCCAAACTGAAGAGTGGAGAGGTGCGCTGCATAACCTTCGCTCAGGAACTACACATACCACACAGGCAAAGAGTTAGAAAATCTGACAAGGAGAAGTGAGAAGATCAAAGTACATAAATGTAAATTGAACTACCTGGCACTGATTTTGGTACTTCTTCGAAGGTCTGCCAACAATATAAATTTGTGAGGGGCTGAGGCCTAGCATGTTGTAAACAGAAATGTCCTTCATGGAGCCATAGGCAGAGTTGATCTTAATGTGACACTGGTGAAAGAGAAAATAACCAGTCACGCACGTGTGACATTTTGATTCAGCACATCCCAAAGCTACAAAATTGTGAGTGAGAGAGTGAGAAAGATCTCACCGTACGGCTTGGACCAAAAGGTCTTATTTGCTGTATATGTTAATGCCTATGTTAATGTCAGGATTTACCTCCTGGATGAGGTTCCTGAGGAAGATGGTCTTTTGTCGCAGTGGGTCATGAACTAAGCCCTCAGAAAAAAAGATCATCCCGTGGGGGAAATTGTGCTGCGAGAGCCAGGACACCACACGCTGTTTCTGCATATCAGGACGGCCTGTGATGTAGATGATCAAATATCCCAAGTCCTGCCAATGCCTGGATGTGAATGCATAAAATCAAGCACACATCAAAGTGAATAATTGTATCATGGTGGTATTATCACAGAGAGGATGCGCATAAATCCTTAAAACACTGAGAGCTCCAACAAAGCACGCGTATTGACTACTGAATTTGTATTTTCCTGTGAACCCTTCCACCTTCTCAAGATTTACATGTAGACATACAACCACACGCATGTATAATCAAAAAGGGTAATCAGTTACCTGACCACATCGACAGCTCCAGGACGGACCTTGGGGTCGCTGCCCATGATTGACACACTGGCAGCAAAAGAGCCATCAATGCTGAACACAACACACTCCATGCCCCTTGGTAACACAGTCAGGTAGGCCTCTGCACTAGTCTGATCCCCCCTGTGGATTGAAAAAAGGAGAAACTACATATTAAAAAAAAATGAGAACTTAGTTGTTACTCCCTTCATGGCCACTATTTATGCAGCATTATCCAGCAAGGAGCTCATACTCCAACACAGAGCATAAATAAATGAAATCTTTCTCTTCTTTCTACATCTTATTTGATAATACAGCGCTTTGTAAAGGGAATGCCACATGGATGCTTACTTGACTACCATTTTAATGGGATATACTCCTAGGCCAAGCTTCTTGGTCTTAGGTATTGTGTATGTGACTCTGCCACTGCTGTTGGTCACCTCTGTGTCAAAGTGCACCCAGCGGCCCGACTGAGGCTGTGTCATGAGCAGGATATCCACCTGAGAGGGGCAGGGGTATAACACATGCGATTAATTGATTAATGTCAGCCTAACAAAGAAACGCACACGCATCAACATAAATCATATCGCTGTTTTTCACCTTTTCTCCAGTCAGAGTGACCATATCCAAGGGGCCATACATGAAGCGACCAACCAGAGTCTGGGGTCCATCCTCGGTGGCAATGACATCATTCACCCTGTGGTTTGCTGTGACGTTCTGCAGTTAGTGACAAGAACTACCTCCATTATTCAGGACACAAATGTAACACGTAAGCCTTTACAGCAACAACAGTTTGTCTCTGGCGCGCTACCCTGGAGTAAATTTTATGACTCATGCTGAAATGTGATTAGAAGTAACAGAAAAAAGAATCAGTGTCAGAGTTTAAATTAAAAAATTTAAAGGATATTATTGCATAAAAAATATATCTAAATGTGCTATGAGCAACATTTAAACATTTAACAATTCATTCATTCATTTATATGGTTAAAGAACAGTCTGCTACAATTGTTTGATGCCACGTTTGACGTGCTCGATAAATGTGTGGCGTGCCTCAAGGGTCTAACGGTGCTTTTTAATCTTTGTTAATCATTCTTCAAATATCTGTAATTATTAAACTAGGCTTAATGCAGTGAATTATTACTCTGCTCTACAGCTGCTGTAAAAATGGTAGAAAAGAGTGCTTTTACAAAACATGATGATGCCCTCTTGAAACTGTCCTTCGACCTTTTAGATGTAAAAACTCATAGTTATATCATTACATCCGAAAACACATTTGTGCAAAGGTTCATTATTATTAGTGCACCATTAAAATGGTAAATGGCCTGTATTTGTATAGCGCTTTACTAGTCCCTAAGGACCCCAAAGCGCTTTACACAACCAGTCATCCACCCATTCACACACATTGACACACTGAATCCTTAAAAACACATATGAATGCTCTTTTTCTAAACAAAACAGAAAATGACATTACTTTACATTACTATATACAAAGCATGTATAAAGACTTTACATCCACTTTATTTCTGTCTGTAGCCTTTCAATTTAAAAAGTTAATAATAACAAGGCAAGAACATATTCCCCACATTTAAAAGTAAATAGTTTAGCACAAAGGGAATTTGTCAGATTAATTACCAGATGAGAAGGGATAAGATATAATACACATTCATATCATGCTAATTTATTTATTTATTTATTTATTTTGCCTGTCCCATTTGGTTCTTTAGCCGTCAGAATTATTGTCTGAAAACCAACAAGGATACCCAATGGATTTACTTTGCCAAATGGATCATCACGGCCTTGCCGTATTGGTCCATTTGATCAACCTTTGTTGTTATTATTTATTTTC